ATTAACATCAATATTGCTATCATTTGTATCATTATTATTATGAATAATATTATTCTTGATATTATCATTATCATTTATTATTGTTACCATCATTGATTATTGTTTCATTATTATTATTATTTTTATTGTCATTACTATTATTATCATTATTGTTATTATCATTATCATTATTATTATTATGATCATTGTCATTATTACCATCACCGTTATTACTGTTCTTTTTGTTATTATTAATATTATTAATACCATTACTATCGTTATTACCATTATCATAATTATTATTGGTATTATCGATGCCATTTTATTAACATGATTATTACCACATAATTAGTATGACTAATAATATTATCATTGATATTATTACCATTATTATTATCATCCTAATCACCACCATCATTATTATTTCTATTGCTATTGCCTACAATCAAACCTACCAGTGATACATAATCATAAACCTTTTCCCTGAACAACTATCCCTTTTTCAGGACAGTATTCGTGTTGGGCAAAACGCTAAATGCAACACTGCAAGTTTTGGTCGAGAAAGAGATGCAGACATACGATGACATCATACAAAGCAACTTTATTGATTCTTACAGGTTTGTCTGAGTAATGAGTCAATACGAGGGATAATTTGATGGCAAATACACTAATAATGGAATGATGTAACTGGAACGCATGCCACATGCACAATTTCGTCCCTTTAACCATCAGTAGAACCTGAATCTGCTCTCCCTCTTTGGTGTCCAGGAATCTCACTTACAAGACGATGTCCTGGCTCTCGTGGGTGCGAGACTGGTGCCCGGAAGTGCCCTTTGTGGTCAAGACGGACGACGACGTCCTGGTGAACCCGTTCCACCTCAAGAAGTACCTGGCCAACGAGCTCGAGAAAAACGCGGCCCCGAGCGACATCTACGGGAGAGTCCGGGCCAAGAACAAGCCCATGAGGAAGGGCAAGTGGAACGTGACGAAGGTGAGGCGACGGAACTGCCCCCGAGACGGACCTCGTTGGGAGGGCGACGGCGGTCCGCCTCTCCCTCTCGGGCGATGGCGCGGGGGTTTGCACGAGGAGGGCGGTCGTCACGAGGGGAGTTGTGACGGTGTGTTAGCTAAGGAGGGAGAGAGAGAGATAGACAGAGAGATAAATAGGTAGATAGATAGATAAAGATAGATAGAGAGAGAGTGAGAGGGGGGAGACAGATAGATAGATAAATATCAAAGAGAGAGAGAGAGAGAGAGAGAGAGAGAGAGAGAGAGAGAGAGAGAGAGAGAGAGAGAGAGAGAGAGAGAGAGAGAGAGAGAGAGAGAGAGAGAGAGAGGATAGATAGAGATAGATAGATAGAGGGAGAGAGACAGGTATCCAACATAACATATGGACAGAGACAGACAGAAGGATAAACAGTCATAGACAGAGATAGTAATAAAAACAAACACAGGTGTTGGGAGTGTTAGGCCTGAGTGCCAGCGGCCACTCGGCGAGGAAAAGTTCCCCCAACTGCCTCGCCGTCGCCGCGGGTCATGCGAGTGCACCGGCCGACGAGGTCAAGAAAGTGCGGCCGAGCGACATCTTCGGGACGCTTCTGAGGGCTCTTGGTGCGGTGGGGGGGGGGGATATTCTGTTGCTGTAGTTCACTGTTACAGCAATGGCAGCACCAACAGTAGGCTGTAATATGTACTCGAAGGCAGTTAAACAAAACGAGTGTGTAAATATTAATGTTGGCAACGGGTTCTCACACATTTCGCTGTCATTGGTAAACACATATAGATGATTCAGTAAAAGCTTAGCATAGTGTGTAGAAAGCACTGGGAATCTAAACTTTATTTTATTGCCATTATGGTGTCCTAATTCTTTAGAAATAAATGTAAAGAAAAATATATTTCATAAATTATATCTAAATAAGAGAAGTAAAGAAAAGATAAGAAAAATTAAAGAATAAAATACTTTGGCCGATACAAAAGTAAAGATAGAAATATCGACACATGGCAGCACTTGAGTTACAAAAAACGCCAACCTGTCTTTTCTCTCTCCCTCTATCATGCCAGGAGGAGTACAAACTGGACTACTACCCGCCGTTCGTGCTCGGCCCCGCCTACGTCGTGAGTGGCAACGCCGTGGACCGCCTCCTGCAGTACGCCGCGCACACGCCCTTCCTGTGGCTCGAGGACGTGTACATGACCGGCCTCGTAGCCGCGGCCGCCGGCGTCAACCGCGTCCAGGCCGAGAGGACGCTCTACACCAAGAAGCTGAGCAGACAGCTCTATTCGAGCCAGGTCGCGTTCCTCCTCGGGGCCGACGACAAGCGGAAGAAGCTGGCCTGGAGCGCCATCGTCAAGAACTCGCCCGTGAGGTTCGCCAGCCGAAGAAAACGGAGATGAGCTGAGGAGGCGCGAGGGGTAGCTTTTCTAAAGGATTTTTTATGCTATGATGCTGATTTATTTATTATTGTGGACGTATGTTAGTGTTTTTTATGCCATTTGTCCAATAAAGTAATTTTCGAAATACTCTGTGATCATGTTTGTCCTCAGCTTCCATAGATTTGATTATTAATATTGTAAAAGTGATAACCAGAATAATAATCATAGTGGTTAAGGTGATGAGATGACAATGATTATGAAACAAGTGACAGTGATGTGTTAACAGATAGATAATAATGGTAATAATGAGGGCAATAATAATAATAATAGCAACAATGCCGTTGATGGTAATAATACAAATGATAGTAATAATAATGATGCCAATGATGATATTGATAATGATGATGATGATGATGATGATGATGGTGATGATCATGATGATGGTGGTGGTGATGATGATGATAGTGATGATGATGATGCTGATGCTGCTGATGATGATGGTGATGATGATGATGATGGTGATGGTGATGATGATGATGATGATGGTAATGATGATGATGATGATGATGATGGTGAAGAAGATGATGATGGTGATGATGATGATGATGGTGATAATGATGATGATGATGATGATGATGGTGATGATCATGATGATGGTGGTGGTGATGATGATGATAGTGATGATGATGATGCTGATGCTGCTGATGATGATGGTGATGATGATGATGATTGATGATGATGATGATGATGATGATGATGATGATGATGATGATGATGGTGAAGAAGATGATGATGGTGATGATGATGATGATGGTGATGATGATGATGATGATGATGATGATGATGGTGATGATGATGATGGTGATGATGATGATGGTGGTGGTGGTGGTGATGATGATGATGATGATGATGATGGTGTTGGTGATGATGATGATAACAGCAGGAACAAAGAACAACAACAGCAACAGCAACGATGAAAACAATGTCAATAATGATGATGATATAATAATAATAACAATGGTAATGATTATAATGCTAATGCTAATGCTAATAATAATGCTAATAATAATAATAATAATAATAATAATAATAATAATAATAATAATAATAATAATAAAAATAACAATAATGATAATAATAATAGCAATAACACCCCAACAGCAACAGCAATGCTAATGCTAATAGTAACAGTAACACAAAGGAACAAAGGACAGGGCCTGGCGTCGGGTCATCCTGGAAGGGCATTATCGATTCGTTTTTTTTGTATTAGTAATAAATGGGTTAAATTGCTGATCTGAATCCCTTCAAAATCATCATCATTATCATCATTACTTTTTTTTATCAATGTTGTTCCTGAAATAATAAAACTACCAAGATTATTAGATATTTCGAGTTGTCAGTATCTTTATGTGAAAAAATAACTATCTATGAACCGTATTCATTGTGACAAATGTAGAAAAGTTATGAGTGAGAATGAATATCTTCACAATACAAAAGATGCATTTGACCGGTTTTGAATATATATCTTCGAATGATATATTTATTTGACTTTTTCTCTATGCCTTTCTTAAAATTGCTATGCCCTTTGCAGCATATAATTTGCATATTTATATGTATGCATAGATGTATCCCCCGAACTATTTTTAAAAGGTATTCACAAATGTTACCGATACATATGGGTTTCCTTTCTGTATATTATCATCTTTGTGATTCAGTCTGTTAATACTTGTATATTTGATGAAGGATAGAGTTTCAGATGTTTTCCAATATACGGCATTTTTGTAATGTTATCAATTACTGTAGGTGCGGGTGCGGGCGCGCGCGTGTGTGTTATTTATTTTTGTATGCATGATGTTTGTGATTATGTATGTATGTATGTATGTATATACACATAGAACAATAGATAAATAGGTCTGTCGATAATAGACAGACTAATGGATGAGTAGGTGAACAAATTAATGAATAGATGATTAAATAAATGGACATCTCACTAGCTATATAGGAGAAAGAGAAAGAGAGGAAGGCAGTCAGACACATAATTTAATATTATCATTCTATATCATATCTTAATGATCATTCTTCTTATTATTATTTTCATTATTGTCATCACTGTTATTATTGATATTATTATTATGGTTATTATCACTATTGTCATTATTGTTATTATCATTATTATTATCACCTTCAGTGTTCATCATCACATCATAATATTTTTTATTCTCCTCATTATCACCATTATTATCATCATCATCATTATCAGCATCATTAGTATCATTAATAATATTGTTATTATGACTATGATTATCATTATTATTATCACTGTTGTTATTGTTGCCGTTATCATTAACATTATTATTATTATTATTATTATTATTATTATTATTATTATTATTATTATCCTCCTCCTCCTCTTCCTCATTATTATTATTATTATCATCATTATCATTATTATTATAATTATTATTACTATCATTATTATTATTATTACTATTATTATTGTTATCATTATTATTATTATTAATATTAATATTATTATCATTATTGTTATTATTATCATTATTATTATTATTATCATTATTATTATTATTATTATTATTATTATTATTATTATTATTATTATTATTATTATTATTATTATTATTATTATT